CCAATGGCGGCATCGCCGAGCGCGACCTCACCATGGCGGTTGCCTCCCACAGCGCCGAATTTCCGAGGCGTCAACTGGCCCAAGGTCAAAGACATCATGGATCAGCTTGGCTACACCTTCACCAAGTCTGCCATGGAGTAAGTGCCGTTCAACCATATCGCCCAGCAGAGTCGATCAAGACTACTAGGCCCAGGTTCTTCTTTCCATGAGATTTATCATCTAACAAGCATTTCCACCTAGACAGCGCTGGACCAAGAAGATCCTCAAGGACTGGCGTGCTCGAGTCGGCCCTGACAGCACCACGGATGAGTCCCCCCCGACCTCCGCCACCCCTGCTAAGAAGCGCGGCCGGACCAAGGCGACTGTTGTGGCTGATGGCGACAACCTCGACACGCCTTCGAAGAAACCCAAGGTCCAGGCCACGGGCATCGAGACTCCCATGAAGAAGGAGTGCACAATTGACGAACGCGATGCCGAAGACGAAAGAAAGAACGAGATTGTCGAAGAAGACTTCATGATTTGAAAGCGGTACGTCTGAAGAGCTTCCCCAATCAATTTGAGAATCAGCTGACATGCCAGTGGTAGAGCCAAGGTTTTCTGGAGGCGGATTGCATGGCTTGGGCTACGAGATCTTTGCGGTTCACTCCTGGAGGATGGAGACGGACAAGAAAAACGGGGATGGTGCTGTTATTCAGTCAACCTTAGGTGTTTTCGGATTTGCTCAACAAAATAGTCGTTGGTTAGCCTCGGCAACTCCTTAGCTAGAGGGACTTTCACATATAACGTGAACGATGAAATCGCGTATTCAAATCCGCCATTGGCCAAATGTCGAGTGTTGAGCCTACATTCCCATGACATACTGACGAGCTTCGCCGCGTAGGGTACTTAAAAGATGTGAAAATCACCACGATTAGGAGAGTCTCTTGTCATGTACACCGCATCGGATGGGATGAAGTGTGCCGGGTACCGGGAATGGATGTGCCACCAGGCAACAAATGCTAGCAAGCCCCGCCATGCATTCAGAATATCACAACACCGGCATCGTTAACAAATGAAGGTGGCCTGGTTCGGTTATTTCTGTTCGTTCTGTCTGTTTCCTTCCCGTATCAGAATAAATTCTCTTCGCCAAAGTATGCCAGGGAGCAGTAATCCATGGGTGAAGGGGGAAAAGCCACACGTATCAGCTGCTCTCGACCTCTTGACGAATGTCGAACTATTCAGTAAGCATATCCCATTAGTCCCTATACTGCTCCTAGGACTCATTCTTCGCCTGTATTGCATTCGTCACCTCCCATCGGGTGGCAGGGAAGCACGCCAGGGATCGCCGGGAATTAGACTTCATAGTCGTTGTCAATATCTCCGGCCTCCATATCAAAGGCGCTGTTGGAGGGACGGGTCAGCAACCCTACAAGCTGTAGAACTTGAAGATAAAGACACGGCAACTCACCTGGGATGTTTGATATCGACGTCATCGACCTCCTCCTTGGTCTTCACCTTCTTAGAGGGGGTTTCCATTTCCTCATCATCGTCCTTCACCTCATCCACAGGGACGGGAGCGGCCTTCTTGGCGGAGGCCTTGCGCTTGCCCGAGGCGGGAGTTTTCTTGCCCGGAGTCGACTTGGCGGGCGTGGATTTGGCGGGAGTGCCGGCGCCGTTGCCTTCCTTCTTCTGAAGCTTGGCAATGTGTTGCCTGTGATGCAATGGGGGTGGTCAGCAAGAATGCAACTCATGGGTAGTCTTTCTTTTAGGCAATGGCAGAAAACAGTCAGACGAAAAGGGAAAACGCCGAGGAAGTGAAGAGGTTTACTGAGCAGCTGAAGAACTATAGCTGTAGCCCTTGGCCTGGGTGCCGGTGACGATCTCGCTCCATTGCGCTGGGGTCGGCTTGACCACTTTGAGAACTTCAATGAGAAGGTCTGCGTGAGCCTTGTCATCCCAGGCTGTGGCAGGTCCGTTGACTGCAGGCATGATGAGAGAAATCAATATTGGGTGATGAGCAGTGTAGAGGGCGTTGTGTGAAAGCGTGCGGGTAGCAGATGCGACTGAGGGAAGAGGTAGAAGATCGTTGAACAGCAGAGGTGTTGAAGTAGAAGATCGGAGGAAGATGAGGAATATTGTGACTTGGTTGAAGAGGGCAAGACGGTAATGATTCAAAGCGAGGAATAGGAAAGAAAGAGAAAGGGTATCAAGACCAAAACGCCCGAGAATCGAAGGCATGGGAACTTTCCCAGGCACACATCGAAACGCAGATTAGAGCTGGTGCGAAAATAGGAAAAGAATCGAAGATGTACAGGAAGTAGCAAACTCAAAAAACTGGCTTCTGCGAGACGGAGATACGCACTTGAGAGCAGACTCGGTGAAGGTGTAACCTTGAGCAGCTAGCACCTTCATGACATCCGAGAGTTGCGATGTGGACAGCTTGGAGGCTGTCACAAATGCCACGAGAATGTCCTCATGGACCTGTGGGGTCCATGCCATGCGAGTAGACATGTTCAGGATGTAATGAGAACAGCCAAGAATGGGCTTCAACTCTGTTTGTTGACGTTGCAATCGTCAAGAGATGCAACTCGGAGTAGTATCTGATGATGTGCGAAGAAGGTGAGAGATCTCGCTGGTGGTGGAAGCGTTGACTGTTGATGACTGGGGACGGACTTTTCCATGGACTATTGGTGGAGATGACAGAATATATTGGGACGACATATACGGCTGCCTCTGCCTTCGAACTGCCTTTGACTGACCTCTGCCCTGCCTCTGCCTCTGCTCTTGCCGACTTAACAAGTAGCAGAGTGGGACTGGCGCTAGCCAAAATAGTCCCAGCTCTGTGTCGCTGCTCTCGATCCCGAGGAAGCGGGTAGGCAATGCTTTTATGGCACTCGATGATAACTGAGACTCAAGAAACACATGCAAAGAAAATGCTCATCGAAGAGCACCGGAGCCCGATCATCATCGCGGAACATTAGACACAAAAACCACTAACGAGACAAAATCATAACCTACCGGAGTGCCTCCCAGGTGATGGTAGCATCAATCTTCTTGAGCTCAAAAATCATGTTTTCTTTGAATACGGGAGTGAACTTGTCCTTGGAGGTATTCCAGAGGTAAGTCACGATGCGCAAGGCAGCTCGGCGTTGTCCCAGTTGACCATATTGGTGCTGGTCTGCGTGTGGCAGCTGTGGATGCAAGGTTGGTTTGTTTGGCTTGGGGATTCTTGATGATCGACTGAACAACCAGCTAGACCGAAACGCAGTAATGATTTGTTACTGGTAGGAGGGGAAGAATGGTGCAGGAAAAGAGTCAACGTGCAACAGTGAATGGTCTCGTGCTTATTGGAGGGAAGACGATAACAAAGTAGGCCGCAGCCGGCTGAACAGGCAACGACGAATCGTGACCATCTGTCCAATATGTACAGAAGGCACTCAATCGAGGCTAGACTTCCATGGGCCTCAGACGTGGTTGTCTTCAAGTACGAGAAGCCTCTGGGAAGTGACACCATCTAGGCTCCAGGGCTCGAAATGTGACAAGCGAAACTTGCAGCACTTACCGAAAATTGTTCCAGTTGATGGTTGAGTCATGTTTCTGAGCGGCAGCCATGATCTGATCCTTGGTCTCCTGAGAGAAGTGCTCCTTGAAGGTGTTCCAGAAGCCTACGAGCAGGGCGTCCCGGAGATCGGCATCTTCCCAGTTGACCATCTTGACAGTATTGTATGCGTGTGTGTGCTCGGTGGCGTGGGCTGTTATATGGGAGAGTACCGCGTGAGAAGTGGGAGGCTGTCGTGTCTATGTGTTGAGATAGTCGAGTTGGGAGCTTTTGTGGAAGAGACAGAAGAGCACAGGACTTGAT